AAGTTCTTCTACCCAAAATTAATTTGCTTCCAAGGCGATGGATAATTAGATGCTCCAATCTCGGCTTTGAATAAAGCATGTCATCCCCCACGACCATATGATAGTGATGTTAAATCATGCTATACTAGAATCAAATGAATTACAGGTCATTCATATTGATCTCTTCTGCTGGCGATGGCATAGGTTGTGAACTAAGGAGTCTTTCTGCCTCGTCGTTTGCTTCAGCTTGGAGCCTCCACTTCTGCACCGAAAGTCAAAAACAGAGAAAAAAAAAAAAAACCTCAAATTATTCCTAGGATCTCAACTTCATATGATGAAAACATGTGTGAGTCACAGAAACAGGGATATGCCTCTTCAAGATTCTCCAGCTCCATGATTTGTTGTATCTGTTCTGATATGGTTTCCTGCAGCCAGAAATCACTCAATTATATCTTGCTAAATATGTCCCTGGTTGGAAGGAAGGAATATATACAAAGGTGTTTTGCTTACTGCAGTGCTTGCTGATTCAGCAGCAAGGACATCAGAGTCCATTTCCACCTCAATTTCAATCATTGAAGAGATCTGAAAAATGAAAGATTTCACAATATATTTGGTGAAGAGAAAACATAAAGGATATATTTTTATCCTTTCTTTTCACTACCCCTTTTTAAGTGGGGAGGAAATGGAGGAGGGGTTTCTCATGTCTGAGTTAGGGTGTTTTTATGGATAGATACACATACTCTTGCATAATTGTCAATAAGTTCAATCCTTCCCCTGAGGGAATTCTCCAAGCCTTCTCGCACCCTTTTGATTCTACTTCTACGAGCGCTGAAAATAGACGAAGAAAAAGTTGTTCTTGACAATGAATACAAGCAAAAGATCTTCAGCACAATTTGGAAACTCAGTCATGGTAGAATGTAGGGACTAGGGAGTTTACCGATAAGAAGGTTCTCCAACAGCAAATATTTTGTTCTCCAGTTGACACATCCGAGCTAACATCCAGATCTACACATGAAATGAACAAACTTCTTCAACAAGCTTGTTGCAGTTGGAGATGACAAAATTAGATGAGAACTACTGTTAAAGCATTTGTTGAGTAATCAATTTCAAAAAAAGCCAGATGGCATAACATAGATTGAAGTATTTCTCAATAAGTACATTCCAATATGTCTTTTTAACAGATTAGCTAGATTCCCAAGATCATAAGTATTCTCCATAGAACACCATTACATACACCAATAACCACACTGGACAGAAATGTCCCAAGGAATAGTCATTCAGATACACATCTATAGAAACGTGGAGTAAACCAGGTGAAGAACAATATTTTTGGAAGTCATCAAGCACTTATTTGGGTCTTTATTGGACAATTTTTTCTTTCTCTTTCTTGAAAATTTAATTGGAAAAAACATGTGTTTAGTCTGAATTGCATTCTTTTTTCAATATACATAAGGAAGTTTTCAAAACAATTATTTGAAGCTTAACAAGTGGAGTTTTAAAGCTTCCAACTCATGGAAAACACTATATTCAGACATGACACCACCAAAGTTCATGGTTCTGAAAACAAAGGTACTCAATTGAAAGAGCGAACTAAATAGTAATTGACATACCACATTTGCGGTTTGCAAGGGAGAATACCTCTTTTATGACAGCTTCTTTAAGGTCCTTGATGCGAGACTGAAGTACATCATACTGAGCTAAAAGCTGTTGCCTGATAGCAATTACTTCCACTGATCTCTGTGGAAGCTGATACCAACATTAAATAGATAAGTTGAAGGTAGGATAATGCCAGGAAAATGTGTAATATTTTAAGAAACTCAAGATAAAAGATTACTTGATTCAACTGAGGTAGAATCACAGTATTTAAGGCTGCTCCAAAACCAAGTGATCCTATGGTAGCAATTGCCAGGAGCTGAGGCAAACTAGGATCTATTATTCCAGAGGCAGCTTCTCCAGCAGCCAGAACAGTGACAAGTGGAATAAGGAAGGTCGGGTTGAGTAGAGAAATGTTTCCATCTTTTATAGGGGCTCTCAGCAATGGTGATTCCCGGCCATCATTATGGTTTGTGAGACACATAGGTTCTCCAGGATAGAAATTGGGGACCTTTGGACTGAATTTAAAGGGCCCCACCTCTCTAGAAACATTTGCAGGAGCAGCAGAAGCAAGGGTTACCCTTTCTCCTTCTTGTGCTGGGAGATCAACTGTTTTGGTGGCAAACCTTTGTGTGCGTGCCACCCCAGAAGGAGTCTGAACCTGAAACATGGAAAGCACATACAGAATGGTTAAGAAAGGCTCAGAAATAACAAATAAGCTTCTTGTCTGTTAAAACAGAAAAGTATTTATAAAGTCAAAGAAAAGTGTACCACAATAGAGTGAACAGCAGCACGAATACTTTGCTTCATTATTGGTAGAGAGTTTAGTCCCCTTTTCCACAATGGAATCTCCATGCTGCGTTCGGCAGGAGGAGTTCCTTAGAAAAAGTGAATATCACGGCATCAACACCATTCAAGGATTGTGTGATCAACATTAAAACGGGGCAAAAGGGAATTCAAAGCTCTAACGCCCATTAACCAATAGCTGTAACAAACTCACTATAGCTCATGCATTTGAAGTTACAAAATGTCAACAAAAAGTATTACTGTAGTGATCCAAAAAAGAAACCAATTGCAATTTCTCCAAGAGGTTAGTAGGTTGCCTGAAAATCCTACTGCTTCCAGGAAATACGCTTGGAAGTATACGCATTAAACAAAAGTTATCTTAAATCACTCAAGGTAAAAAATCCCTGGAAAGTAAATCAGAACCAACTCCAACCTGATTTCTTCTGAGATAACACTAACTATGTTTCCAGAAAACAGCTCATACTGGTAACGACATTTGGCACAAGAAACAATCTGCAGAAGAATTATTATGTCCACATTAAAAGGAATTAAAAAAGAAAAATTATGAATAGTGAATGTACTAAGATGACCAAGAAAAGATTTTGGCTCAGGTATCAATTTCTAATTTGAGCAAGATTTCTGACACCAATGCCCATGACCATGAATGCTGAAATTTGTGGGTTGCATCCTATCTACACTGAAGATTTTCTCTTGGGCATGGGGCGTCAATGTCATGACTTTGCAGCTAGCATATGAACATAAATTTTGAAAATTATGCAAATTTAGCCCTGTTTGTAGAGGTAGGATTGAACAATTTCCCCTACCACAACCATCGGATGCAAAGACTACAAATGCAGAAATTCGGAAAAGATGAGACCGTGCATACACTAGACCAGTATAATTGCTTCAATGTTTACACCTGAATGCCATGTTGTGGTTGCGCAACCGCAACAGCAATCATACAAGTTGGACACCTTACAACCTTTCCAAAAGGAACCTGTTAAAAGAGAAAGAAAAAAAAGTCTAAAACTTTTCAATTCACCTCAAGAAAAAAGTCCCACATTGCTTAATCCAAAGAAAAGTAGAAAACATCCTCCCTACCTCCTCACCAGGAGACACTCCCACCCTGCAAATTTCATTGATTATCCTGAGAGCATCAGAGACCCTCAGTGATGCCGCAAGGCCCTGAACCAATAACGTGTAGACACTCACATCAGGCCTAGACCATTTCCATTTATCAACCAAAGTCCCGTCTTCACCAACAGCTGCACCATGTTAGCACACATGATTAGCAGATATAAACTTCAATATTGGCTCTTCAAGGAATCGTTCAAGAAAAGATTTCGAAAGCAAAACCCATATCCATTAAAGAAAAAAAAAACGAAGGATTACCAGTGTCAAAGCTGGACCGCATGGCATAGAAAACAGACAAAGCCAAATCAACATTGTTGCAATCAAGCGCAGCCTTAATAATTAAATGACAATCAGAAGCTTCAACAACGCCGCATTTTCTTTCTCTACTCTGGGCAATCAGTTCCAGAGCTTCAGCGGCATCTTTAGCACCCGAGACTTTACCAAGCAACTCCTCGTCCAAAACAGAGCTCTCCTCGACCATGCCGTTCTGGGTTTCCCTCACCGAAGCTCTTGATTTTAACGGCCTTATTTTGATCAGAACAGAGAGAGGGGAATTACAGCGAAATGGCAGAGAAAAGAGAACGTCGTTGTAGCCATTTGGAGGGGTTCCGAAGAGTTTAGTGAGGTTAGGAGGCGAGAAGCATGGAGAAGCTAAATTCAGACTCATGCTACGGCTTTTTAACAGGTTAGGTTTTGGGTCTCGAAAGGCAGAGGAAGAACGCTCTGTTTATGTTTATGGGGGCGGGAGCTTCGAATTGGTTCTGTTTTGGGTGACACAAAAGGAGAAGACGATGAGGAAGGAGAGGCTGTGAACACCAGTGGTTCTACGCCGTTCGATATTGCGAGATATATAGAATAGAAGCAGTGTAAAAATATTAAAGCTGGAGGTGCGGGGAATCGAACCCCGTGCCTCTCGCATGCGAAGCGAGCGCTCTACCATATGAGCTACACCCCCAACCTGGTGTTAAATTCGTTAGTCCTTTTATAACTTACTTATCGAGAAAGTAAGTAGGAAAGCCTTTTATTTATTCTTCACCCTTACCCGGCATCATTCCATTTCGTATAAATTTTCTCACGCAAGTCGCGACTTATGTTGTGTCCATTACGGTTTTGGAGATACATTCGTGGGATAGAATATAAGTTCAAGAAATTTCGATGAACTCCCAGTGTCGAAGAAATTCTATTCTATTTCTAAAATACTATTGATATGATATCCTAAATCAATAAAAAAACACCACTTTTTAGTTTTTTTTTTTTTTTTTTACACGTTATTAATTACTTAATAAAGAAAAGCTGATGTGATAATCTTTTATTAGTCCAAGATACCACATCCAGTGATATCGCAGAGATAAAGTAGAGTTTCTTCTAGTATTCAAGGTAGGATTAGGAGTTGCTAGAAAGATAAATCAAGCTCGTATCCCATAATAAGAGCAAGGTCATGGTCTTAGTAAAAGAGTACTACACATCATGTGAAGGAGATCATTTTCAGTTTGAACTGGGGCGAACCGATCCATTGAGATGTCAACTAGTAAGTGCCATTTACCAATTTCTACCTTTTAAAAAATATAAATACATAAACAATCAAAGAACTAAGAACACGATCAAGTGAGAAAATTGACATTTATGACAGCGAGACAGCACCCATCAATCCCAAACTGGTATTTGCTTCAGATCAGATTGGCTACTACATACCCCTCCTAAACATCTTCATCCACCCACTATGTTACAGTGAACTTGCAAGTGAAAATTGTAGAAACTAGAAAGTAATTAATTGGTCATTTCAACAGCACCTGATAAAAAGACTATACACTCTGACTCAATTCACCCTAAAATCCAATTGTTGCATAAAACAAGTAACTAGAAAATGTAAAATGGGGCCTCAACTTTGGAGAAAAGGTATGCTGCAACTGTAGGACTCCACTTCATCATGTGCAACCAAGAAATTCCATCTTATCAGCAAATGTGGAATTAGTTGCCAAACTGGCGCCTTGTCCATGGCGGCCTTTGCCAGCCACCATTGCCATTGCGTTGTACAGCATTGTTCTTGTGTGAAAAGACCCGCATTCGCTCTTCCTTCATGTTGGCAAACAGTGAGTCTAGTGTTTGAGGCTTCTGCTTAGGCACTGACTTCCCCTGTTGCTCCTCATCCTGCTGCCGCTGCTGGGGCTGTACTAACAAGATTGCTCACTTAGCATCAAAACAGAATAACTAATGGAGCAATAACTCTTAACATTAACATAGGACCCCAGTCTTTGCTGTTTAGAAGCAATAAATCCCATTACCTTTGTCAAACCAACCAAATGTAAAAGCTATAAAATACCACCCAGAAAATCCATGGGTGCTCACAGTGTTCAATATATGACGTCAATCCTGAATAGTTACAAGCCATTTAAACATAAAAAACATACTGACTAGCCCCTGGTCATAGGATGGAAGAAATACCTTTGCTGCAAAGTGTCCATTTGGAGACCTTCGCTGAACTGGTGGAACTCCAACCCTGCAGAATAAATAAAACAATCAATAGATAATAGAGCAAAAAACTCATGGAGCAAACTCTCCAGGGGAGACAAGATGATCCCCTGTGCTCAGCGACCAGCAATAGTCTTGAGACCTCCACAACACCACAACCAGACAATTTTTATGTCCAACTACTAAAAAGACCAGACAAACAATTACCCCCAGGAATATAACTTCATTTCTGAAACCTTTTCCAATTAAACAACAAAATCTGGAGTTTTAAACCTCTAGCTTGAAATGCAAGGCCACCTCAAAACACAGAGAAAGCCCTCCATGTACAAAACCACAAGGGCCAAAATCCAAGAAGATCAAATCAATATGCAGCTAAATTTCACCATCCACAGCCCAAGTTCATGTGAAATTAAATCTCCCAAAGAAGCCACAAACCTTTGTAGGAGTCATAAAGAATTTTACATCTAAAGAACTAGATAAAATCCAGTTAGAAAGCTCAGCATCCCCAAACAATTTCCAAACTTCATTACTTCAAGTACAAAGATTTCACTATGCCCCCAAGGCAACAACTGATTCTCTTGATCAAAAATCATTATCAATGTATCAATCCAACCATTCCTTTAAAGCACATAACCCAGCAGTAAATAAACATGTACAGGAAAATCTAGACATGAGATGAAAGTCAGAGCAATGGGAAATGGGGCTCATGAAAGAAACCACTGCCACCTTAATAATTCTACAAGAAGTGCATAGAGTAAGATATACAACCCCATCCATTGAACTCCAAGAAACAGGACCCAAAGAACTTGAGTAAAATTTAAATCAATCTGATCAGAGGAGAGAAGCCAGGAGGACATGCCACATCCATAAGATTATCAATTGAAGAAATGAGAACAGTCTCTCAATGCAGATTATAAGCTTATGGAAGAAGCATAAGAATTGATAACAAGGTAGAATTCTTCAGAAGAGAAATTTCACGAAGAAGCTACAAAAACCAGTAGGGGTAACCACAAACTATTCAGTTGACACTTGAGAGTTTTGAGTGAAAAAGCCATTTGTCCAGATCAAGCAATGAGCCACCTAGAAGGTTAATTTTTCTAAGGAACATGTATGGCTCTTGCAGAATATTACTTCCATAATCAAAATCATATCATGGTTTTTTAAAATCCACCTCAAACAAGATCACCCCATCAACTATACTTATTTGATGCTTTGACATCCGTGTAAATGGCAGATCACTGACACCAAATTAACTGTTACCCCATTATCAAACGATCTATCCACCACTCAAACTATTAAAGAACACCCAAAACTCATCATTCAAGCAAACTATAATCTTGACTGCATGGACAGAAAAGACCAACACTTCAAACACCCCAAATTTAGCACTTGTCAGAAGATACAGAATCAACCATTTTGTGGTTCCAGAACAATATTCAACTTCACATAAGTTAATCAGAAGCACATTGCAGAAATGATCAATATTGAGAAGGCCCATGATTTACCTTCAAGAAATCAACAAAATTTGGTCATTTAATGAGATGCATCATGATTAAAAAGTAATTACATGTACACGCCAAATAACACTGTCATTTACCTTGGTTTATTAAAATTGGCAACCCTGCTACCATTATAAGCTCTAACATGAATTGGAGCAATTGCAGCCTTCTTTGCAGTCTCAGCTGCCAACGGGAATTGGTTTCCCTGAAAATTTGACCTTCTCCTAGCTAGAAATCCCTGATTATTGAATATGGAACAACAATCAAAAAGGAGAAAAAAGTCAGAGCCAGTTCCTGGATCAGGAATGGATGTCAAGTTAACTGACAGTGGCAACAACGCCAACAATTAAGTACCTGTCTAAGAGAGGACCTTGTGTCCATATATCGCCGCACCTTCAAGGCCCTCTCTTTAGGGCCATTATTCACAGATTTCTGACTTTTATTCTGATAAAAACAACAAAATACATCAGATAACTGTGAGAAATTAAGAAAAAAGGGAAAGAATGAAATGCAATTTAAACAAATCATACCGGAACCCTTCTTTGCTTCTTGCCCTTATTTGAAGTACTATGAGACATTTTGATGATGTCATCTACGTTAACATAACAAAAAGTTAATCAAATACCAGTTAGATTTTTAACCACAGAGAAAAGAAACTTGCCAGGAGCCAACAGCTTACCTAATGCCATGTCCATTTTCTTCTCTGTAAGAGCAATTGCCTCGCTTGTGAGTGGTTTAGAAGCCATCTGACACATAAAATAGAATTGAGCAATGACATGCTGAAGAAAAAAAGATAATGTGCAGTAAACAACAAAAAAGTGTAAAACATTAGATGATTCAGGATTTAACTTTCTACTTCAAGTTGGCTAAAAAAAAGCAATGCAACAAACAATCAAAAATAATGGAGCCCATAAAACCAAGAAGGTACTTTTATTTAAACCAATAGATAGTAGAAAAATTCCACAAAAAGAACCCAGGGTTTATCCAGCAATTACAGTACCGCCTAACTGGGAAGAAATACTATAAACTTTATCTAAACCAAGCATGGGCAAGCTCTGCTCGCGTTGCCTAAAAAACATACATACAAAAGGGAAAAAAAAAAAAAAACTAGGGTATATCGGGTCACTGAAACACGAGAACAGAGGATACAAGAGGCTCAGACAGGTACCGATTTGCTTAGAAACTTTTAGCGCCGCCGGTGAGGAAACGAACAAAACAGAAAGCCCTAGTGAAAGAGAAACGAACCGAGCAA